ATTCTGATGTATAGAAAACTATATTTTGCAGCGTAGGTTGATGTTTATTTGGTCACGTGATCACAGTATGAATGCACTTAGGATTTTTTTTTTTCATGCGGGCTATCAGATACAACCCACAATTTAACCAGAGTAAAATATTAACAAAACATTTGTTGTAATGTTTAGGTCGCTATACAGGCAGTGAAATATTGCGTGGATATTTTTTAATTAATTACAAGAAACATCTATTAGCAATTTTTTTTTAAATAATTTTACATCGACCTCTATGAGGTTAGTAGGCCCCTGAGAGTGATTTTGTACTGCTAAAATACTCAGTCAAATGTTTCAAACTCTGAGTGACCACAAATGCTAGTGAATGTGTGTTATAGGAAAACTGAGTTCAGTAAAATGTTCAACTTGTATACATTTTTGTAGTTTTAAAAAAGAGGGGTCAATGGACACACACAACACACCTTTGTTAAGCATTCAATCAATTTTCGATTTTTTTTCTTGTTAAATGAAATAAGTTAAACTTTCCCTCTAATGTAGGCCGACGTAATGAAACATCAGAAAGAAAAAAAAAACTTAAAAAAGACAAGAGGTTTGACTGTAAGGAATTTTTTTTTTTACATGTGTTTAGAAAGTTTTATATTGATGGAATATCAATTATCTTTCACATACCAAAAGTGGTGAAGGGTTAATTGAAATTTAAAAAAAAATTAAAATCATTTTTATAAATATTTATAAGGATGTTTTAAATTTTACAACAAATGTATTGTTTTTTATCAAAAAGAAAAAAAAATATTTTTACATCCATATTTATCGTAACAATAAGAAATAAAATAAAAATGTGTTTAAAATGAAAAATTAACATCAACGTATTTTATATATTTGTAGCATCAATATTTGTAGCATCAATATTTGTAGCATCAACATTTGTAGCATCAATATTTGTGGCATCAATATTTAAAGCATAAACATCTGTAGCTTCAATATTTATGGCATCAATATTTGTGGCATCAATATTTAAAGCATAAACATCTGTAGCTTCAATATTTATGGCATCAATATTTGTGGCATCAATATTTGTAGCATCAACATTTGTAGCATCAATATTTGTGGCATCAATATTTGTAGCATCAACATTTGTAGCATCAACATTTGTAGCATCAATATTTGTGGCATCAATATTTAAACCATAAACATTTGTAGCATCAATATTTGTCGTCATGGTCGAAGGAAATAACATCTTTGAAAATAAAATGTTTAAAATCACATTTTTTGTATTTCTTCTGATCAAATTAACCGCGGGTTTGTTTCTTTTATTTTTCACTGTTACTTTTTCTTAACATACACATTTTTACTTCAAGTTAAAAGATGTTTCTTAAAGTTGAAATTATTTTAGAAAAATTAATATAAGATAAGCATTTGTCTATCTATGTTTCAGATACACTTTAGTTAATGGCCACTTGCTTGATTAAAATTTTAATTAGTAGTTGGATGAAAAAAATAATTATCACTATTTAAGTATACATTATATTATACCTACCAAGTGAACTCTACTTCACTTGCCCCATATACCGTCATGTTTGAAAGGGAAACTTTACTTTTACCAAGTTTTTTTTTATTACCAAATATTAGTGTTGAGTTTTCGAGATTTGAATAAAATGATTGTTTACTCAACAAAATCATCGGCCCTAAACATGATAACATGATAGTGATCAGTGTTTCTTCCAGACTTTATACTCACGGGGGGGGGGGGCGCTAAAATTTCCGGGGGGGGGGGAGAGGGGGGCGGACTCTGTTATTGGTGTGGGTGGTTTGGTTGGAGTGTTGTGGTATGGTTGGAGTGTTGTGGTTTGGTTGGATTGTTGTGGTTTGGTTGGATTGTTGTGGTTTGGTTGGATTGTTGTGGTGTGGTTGGATTGTTGTGGTTTGGTTGGATTGTTGTGGTTTGGTTGGATTGTTGTGGTTTGGTTGGATTGTTGTGGTTTGGGTTGGATTGTTGTGGTTTGGTTGGATTGTTGTGGTTTGGTTGGATTGTTGTGGTTTGGTTGGATTGTTGTGGTTTGGTTGGATTGTTGTGGTTTGGTTGGATTGTTGTGGTTTGGTTGGATTGTTGTGGTTTGGTTGGATTGTTGTGGTTTGGTCTGATTGTTGTGGTTTGGTTGGATTGTTGTGGTTGGGTTGGATTGTTGTGGTTTGGTTGGATTGTTGTGGTTTGGTTGGATTGTTGTGGCTTGGTTGGATTGTTGTGGTTTGGTTGGATTGTTGTGGTTTGGTTGGATTGTTGTGGTTTGGTTGGATTGTTGTGGTTTGGTTGGATTGTTGTGGTTTGGTTGGATTGTTGTGGTTTGGTTGGATTGTTGTGGTTTGGTTGGATTGTTGTGGTTTGGTTGGATTGTTGTGGTTTGGTTGGATTGTTGTGGTTTGGTTGGATTGTTGTATTTTGGTTGGATTGTTGTGGTTTGGTTGGATTGTTGTGGTTTGGTTGGATTGTTGTGGTTTGGTTGGATTGTTGTGGTTTGGTTGGATTGTTGTGGTTTGGTTGGATTGTTGTGGTTTGGTTGGATTGTTGTGGTTTAGTTGGATTGTTGTGGTTTGGTTGGATTGTTGTGGTTTGGTTGGATTGTTGTGGTTTGGTTGGATTGTCGTGGTTTGGATGGATTGTTGTGGTTTGGTTGGATTGTTGTGGTTTGGTTGGATTGTTGTGGTTTGGTTGGATTGTTGTGGTTTGGTTGGATTGTTGTGGTTTGGTTGGATTGTTGTGGTTTGGTTGGATTGTTGTGGTTTGGTTGGATTGTTGTGGTTTAGTTGGATTGTTGTGGTTTGGTTGGATTGTTGTGGTTTGGTTGGATTGTTGTGGTTTGGTTGGATTGTCGTGGTTTGGATGGATTGTTGTGGTTTGGTTGGATTGTTGTGGTTTGGTTGGATTGTTGTGGTTTGGTTGGATTGTTGTGGTTTGGTTGGATTGTTGTGGTTTGGTTGGATTGTTGTGGTTTGGTTGGATTGTTGTGGTTTGGTTGGATTGTTGTGGCTTGGTTGGATTGTTGTGGTTTGGTTGGATTGTTGTGGTTTGGTTGGATTGTCGTGGTTTGGTTGGATTGTTGTGGTTTGGTTGGATAGTTGTGGTTTTGTTGGATTGTTGTGGTTTGGTTGGATTGTTGTGGTTTGGTTGGATTGTTGTGGTTTGGTTGGATTGTTGTGGCTTGGATGGATTGTTGTGGTTTGGTTGGATTGTTGTTGTTTGGTTGGTTTTAGATATCTTGCCTGAAATAATAATATGCCTTGGGATCATTTTTCCTTGAGATACAAAAATATGGTATTATACATTAAAAATTATTAAAATATTATTTAAAATACACAAAAACCTAATTAAAAAACCTTTCACCTAATAGTTATACTAGTATATAAAAAAATTAATATAATGACTGTTTTTCTATAATATAACTGGAAAATCCAGAAGCTTTTTAAAATTATAAGTATTTATATTCAAAATACATAGAAATACATACACTTTTCTGCACATAAACATTGTCAACAATTTTACCAGTTCTATTTTCATATTTTATTATACTGCCTACAACGTTTATTAAAGACACAAACCCATCAAGAACGATAAACATGAATTATTTCTTAATCACTGGAGTTAACAACAAATGTTCATTTTATTGTTGCGGTTGTCTCCCCTCATCTACAGTACAAAAAAAAAGAAAAATATTTCTTATCCCCTCCATTATTAATAAATGGGTTTTTTTTTTTCTCCCAAGGTATTATTCCTCCTTTTTTAAATTATAATTTTTTTGTTGCAAATAGTTTTTTATTTGAAAAGAAACTAGAAGATGGGGGGGGGGGGGGGGGAGAGAGAAAGAACGTAATGTCGAAAAAAGTTATTCATTTAAAAAAAACAATTATTAGTTTAAAAGTAAATTTAGTAATTAAGTAAAATTACATTTTATATCGATTAGACTTAGACTACATTTACATCCAGTGGATGGCGAAACTCTGTAATGCTGATTAGGGTTAGGACACAAGCAAATTAATAGCATCATTTAGTACTTATACAGTAGTTTTGTTGACGTTTGTATGATAACCCAATAAGTTGAGAGGACCAAAAAAAGGGCTGGTGTTGTACTGGATACTAAACGTAGAACTATTGATTCTCATTTAACACACACACACAAACACACTATATGAATATATATATTATATATATATATATATATATATATATATATATATATATATATATATATATATATATATATATATATATATATATATATAACTGTTTTAATAAATTGTAAAAGGAATTGATTAAAATACTCTATGTTGGCAGTGTTCATACAAGATTTTGGAAAAATATCGTATTTTAAGAAAAATTCAACTCCAGTTTTGAGGGGGGTTGTAAGCTGAGGTGTGACGTCATTTTAGGGGTTAGGGTATTACTGTGGGTTATTAAAGATTATTAAAGATATTAAAGATCTACTCAAAATCGTAGATCTACTCCAATTCGTAGATATATTAATCTAAAATAGTATATGCATATATATATATATATATATATATATATATATATATATATATATATATATATATATATATATATATATATATATATATATATATATATATATATGTATGTATGTATATAAGCCCAGTTGACGATTAGCTCTGTGCCCTGATAGAAAGCCCACCCTCCATCACCACTCCCAACCCCCCACCACCATATGGACAAACGGGTGGGTGGAGGCACTTAATAAAACACGTACCGATACATGAAAGTTTCAGGAGTGCAGCCTTCCTTCAAAATACGCCCCGCCCCACCCCGCCCCGCCACCACCTCCCACCCCCTCCCCCTTCCTCCCAGCTCCACCGTAGCAAGGCAGTTTTCCAGAACGTGTCGCCGAATAAATTCTGTTTTTAGCGCTGTAGTTTAATCTGGCGCTAACACCTACGTTACTACGTCACGTGTTATCCTCGTCACGCTTGGGTGACCACGGCATTTTTTTTTATCTGTGTGGGGATCAAATACCACTGGGGGCAGCCTTGAGGGGTGGGTCCAGCTAGGGAAGACTGTGGTATTGTGGGCTAGATGGGTGGGTCCTACAGCTGTGGGCTAGATGGGTGGGTCCTACAGCTGTGGGCTAGATGGGTGGGTCCTACAGCTGTGGGCTAGATGGGTGGGTCCTACAGCTGTGGACTAGATGGGTGGGTCCTACAGCTGTGGGCTAGATGGGTGGGTCCTACAGCTGTGGGCTAGATGGGTGGGTCCTACAGCTGTGGGCTAGATGGGTGGGTCCTACAGCTGTGGGCTAGATGGGTGGGTCCTACAGCTGTGGGCTAGATGGGTGGGTCCTACAGCTGTGGTATTGTGGGCTAGATAGGTGGGTCCTACAGCTGTGGGCTAGATGGGTGGATCCTACAGCTGTAGGCTAGATGGGTGGGTCCTACAGCTGTGGTATTGTGGGCTAGATAGGTGGGTCCTACAGCTGTGGGCTAGATGGGTGGATCCTACAGCTGTAGGCTAGATGGGTGGGTCCTACAGCTGTGGTATTGTGGGCTAGATAGGTGGGTCCTACAGCTGTGGGCTAGATGGGTGGATCCTACAGCTGTAGGCTAGATGGGTGGGTCCTACAGCTGTGGTATTGTGGGCTAGATAGGTGGGTCCTACAGCTGTGGGCTAGATGGGTGGGTCCTACAGCTGTGGGCTAGATGGGTGGGTCCTACAGCTGTGGGCTAGATGGGTGGGTCCTACAGCTGTGGCCTAGATGGGTGGGTCCTACAGCTGTGGGCTAGATGGGTGGGTCCTACAGCTGTGGCCTAGATGGGTGGGTCCTACAGCTGTGGGCTAGATGGGTGGGTCCTACAGATGTGGGCTAGATGGGTGGGTCCTACAGCTGTGGGCTAGATGGGTGGGTCCTACAGCTGTGGCCTAGATGGGTGGGTCCTACAGCTGTGGGCTAGATGGGTGGGTCCTACAGCTGTGGGCTCGATGGGTGGGTCCTACAGCTGTGGGCTAGATGGGTGGGTCCTATAGCTGTGGGTCCTACAGCTGTGGGTCCTACAGCTGTGGGCTAGATGGGTGGGTCCTACAGCTGTGGGCTCGATGGGTGGGTCCTACAGCTGTGGGCTAGATGGGTGGGTCCTATAGCTGTGGGTCCTACAGCTGTGGGTCCTACAGCTGTGGGCTAGATGGGTGGGTCCTACAGCTGTGGGTTAGATGGGTGGGTCCTACAGCTGTGGCCTAGATGGGTGGGTCCTACAGCTGTGGCCTAGATGGGTGGGTCCTACAGCTGTGGGTTAGATGGGTGGGTCCTACAGCTGTGGGCTAGATGGGTGGGTCCTACAGCTGTGGCCTAGATGGGTGGGTCCTACATCTGTGGGCAAGATGGGTGGGTCCTAAAGCTGTGGCCTAGATGGGTGGGTCCTACAGCTGTGGGCTAGATGGGTGGGTCCTACAGCTGTGGCCTAGATGGGTGGGTCCTACAGTTGTGGGCTAGATGGGTGGGTCCTACAGCTGTGGGTTAGATGGGTGGGTCCTACAGCTGTGGCCTAGATGGGTGGGTCCTACAGTTGTGGGCTAGATGGGTGGGTCCTACAGCTGTGGGTTAGATGGGTGGGTCCTACAGCTGTGGCCTAGATGGGTGGGTCCTACAGTTGTGGGCTAGATGGATGGGTCCTACAGCTGTGGGCTAGATGGGTGGGTCCTACAGCTGTGGCCTAGATGGGTGGGTCCTACAGTTGTGGGCTAGATGGGTGGGTCCTACAGCTGTGGGTTAGATGGGTGGGTCCTACAGCTGTGGCCTAGATGGGTGGGTCCTACAGCTGTGGGTTAGATGGGTGGGTCCTACAGCTGTGGCCTAGATGGGTGGGTCCTACAGCTGTGGGTTAGATGGGTGGGTCCTACAGCTGTGGACTAGATGGGTGGGTCCTACAGCTATGGGTCCTACCGCTGTGGGCTAGATGGGTGGGTCCTACAGCTGTGGGCTAGATGGTGGGTCCTACAGTTGTTGGCTAAGTGGGTGGGTCCTACAGCAGTGGGCTAAGCGGGTGGGTCCTACAGCTGTGGACTAGATGGGTCCTACAGCTGTGGACTAGATGGGTGGGTCCTACAGCTGTGGGTCCTACAGCAGTGGGCTAAGCGGGTGGGTCCTACAGCTGTGGACTAGATGGGTCCTACAGCTGTGGACTAGATGGGTGGGTCCTACAGCTGTGGGTCCTACAGCAGTGGGCTAAGCGGGTGGGTCCTACAGCTGTGGACTAGATGGGTGGGTCCTACAACTGTGGCATTGTGGATCGATAAAAACTCCTAACATAATTAACAGCTACTATTTATTTCTGTCTTACTTTAGTGCCTTACTATAAAACTGCCAGCCAATAAAAAATTCACATAAAGAAATGAACTGACCAAAAAGTGGCCATAATGTCCGGCCAGATAGAAGCCCATGGGGCGGGGGGGGGGGGGGGAGGGACAACTTATAATTTGTATAAATTTGTGAAACCAATTTCCATTCATTAGTACATTTTAGTTCCTGTGGTTGTTGACTTAACCTTGAATTTAGCCCTCAGGTTGATGTACATTATAAGACAGTGGCGTAGGCAGGGGGGAGGGGGTTAGGGGGGTCATAACCCCCCATAGACCCCTCGGTATATATATATAAAGTATGAGGGGGGGGGGGGCTTGCAAATCGAAAGTTTGAGGGGTGGTGCAAATCGAAAGTTTTGTCCCCGGGTAAAAATTTGAACCCCCTCCCCCCCCCCCCCCCCCCCCAATGATACGATCCTGGCTACGCTACTGTTATAAGAAATAGCTAAAGGTGACTGATACACATGCCCGTTGGTAAATCATCGAATGAGATTTGATCTAACAAGTGTCCATTTGTTGATAAAGTTATTTGCTATAATGTGACTGAAAATCGTCGACACAAAGGTGCATTTAATCGCAGTTAAACCGAGGACCAACACAATCCAATCTTCAGAACACACAAATATAACTTTCCTGAAGGTATTCATGTGTTACAATTTTTGCTGTTTGACCACTCAATACATTTTTTTAATAAGGTAGATAGGAAAGGTTCGCTCAGGCTCAACCCAAACCAACCCAACCCAAGCCAACCCTAAGCCAACCCAACCCAATCCAAAGGTGGACTTCAAAGAGTTGGTTTACAGGTGAAAAACACACCTGTATGATTCTGACCGGCGGTTCCTTTTGATGTAAAGTGTCTCAGTAAGTAAACTGTACTTTAGACGACTTTGAAATCCAGCACAAAGTGTTCTACTTTTAAAGTGTAGATCGACTTTAAAGTGTAGATCTACTCCATTGTGTAGATCTACTGCTTTGTATAGATCTACTTCAAATCGTAGATTTAATTTATAGTGTAGATCTACGTCAAATAGATCTACTTCAAATCGTAGATCTGCATCAAATTGTAGATTTGTATCAAATTGTAGACCTACATCAACGTTTAAATACTCTTGTAACAATTCAACAACAAAAGGGACGGCATGGTCGAATGGTAGAGCATACGACTGTTCTACTGAAAGCCTCGAGTTCGAAACTCTATTCAAGTCCCTAGAACGTCACTGAGTCCACCAAGCCCCGGTGGTAACTAAACACATTAGGGAAAGTAAACGCGGCTGTGCAAAGTGCTGACCACACTATCCTTTCATATACCGAGGTCACAGAAACAGATGAACTCTACTTCACCTGCGGCCATGGACCTAGTTGTATTCTGTATGACCTAGTTCATGACGACCTTGCTTTAATCAACACCGGCATTACAGATCCCAGAATTCAAGGATACACTGTTCTATTTTTAGACATGACTAACCGGATGTTGACATTGGACGAATCAACCAAGGCGTCCTTGTACTCCACCTACCAGGTAAACAAGGATGACGTCATGCCTGGGATCACCCGAACGAAGTCTTTGTCTGGGCAGGTAGTGCCAGAACTGGCGCTTTGATAGTTGCAGGGCCGGGGGGACACATGAAAGTGGGTAACCTCAGTGTCATGGTGACACGTGAAAGTGGGTACTAGTAGGGTCGGGTGGACAAATGAAAGTGGGTAACCTCAGGGCCGTGGGTACACATGAAAGTGGGTAACCTCAGGGCCGGGGGACACAAGAAAGTGGGTACCAGCAGGTTCGAGGTGACACATGAAAGTGGGTAACCTCAGGGCCGGGGAACAAATGAAAGTGGGTAACCTCAGGGCCGGGGAACAAATGAAAGTGGGTAACCTCAGGGCCGGGGAACAAATGAAAGTGGGTAACCTCAGGGCCGGGAGACACATGAAAGTGGGTAACCTCAGGGTCATGGTGATACGTGAAAGTGGGTACTAATAGGGTCGGGGGGGGGTGGAAGTGGGTAACCTCACGGTCATAGTGATACATGGGTGTGTTCCAGAAACAAAAATATAATCGAACGTGTTATCAGCAGACAACACTGTTTAGTATTGACAGATGAAGTAGAGTTAACTTTTTCTGACGACACGAATATAGAAGGGACAGTGAGGCCATTTGCGGTAATAATTCGCACGTTCGACCCAGCATCTGCCCCCAGAAAAGGTATAGAATCATAATATTGGACGTGACAGGCTCAACAGAATTGCGATAAACCTTTTTAATCTGCTCTTGAAATTTATCAGTTAATTCTTCCAATCTGTGCCCTCTATCCTCCCACTCATACCCTCTATCCTCCCACTCATGCCCTCTATCCTCCCACTCATGCCCTCTATCCTCCCACTCATGCCCTCTATCCTCCCACTCATGCCCTCTATCCTCCCACTCATGCCCTCTATCCTCCCACTCATGCCATCTATCCTCCCACTCATGCCCTCTATCCTCCCACTCATGCCCTCTATCCTCCCACTCATGCCCTCTATCCTCCCACTCATGCCCTCTATCCTCCCACTCATGCCCTCTATCCTCCCACTCATGCCCTCTATCCTCCCACTCATGCCCTCTATCCTCCCACTCATGCCCTCTATCCTCCCACTCATGCCCACTTCTCTCATCTTGTACCAACTACCCTCTGTTTTATGCACTTAACATTCCATCTGTTTCCCATTATTTATTACAAGATTTTTTAAAAATCTTTCTTTCCCTGTCGTGCTTGCTTTTGTCTTTTGTCGTTATTGTTGAAAACGGGCGAGCGAAATCTCGATCACATAACGAACCAATTTCTTTCAAACTTGGCATGTGGGTCAAGATCAGAGGCGTAACGACCGTTCCCGGTACCCGGGGACAAACTTTCGTTTTGCACCCCCCCCCTCAAACTTTTGATTTGCACCCCCCCCCCTCAAAATTTCAATTTGTTTTTCAAACCCATTTTGGCGCCCCCCCCTTAAGGTCGGCGCCCGGGGATATATGTCCCGCCCCCCACCCCCGCCCCTCGCTACGCCTCTGGTCAAGATTCGATGATAATGCAATGTGACATCAAACTTGACTCAATTTGATGCTTAATAATTTTTTAAGAATTAATATACGTTTCTCTTAGTTATAAAGTACCTTATTTCCGCACTAATAGACGCACCTAAGTTATCTTTATTTGATGCACAATTTCTAATGTATTACAATTTTTAAAGTATTGAAAAAAAAATCGTTTATTTTCTATTTTTTTTTAGCTTATTCTTATATACAAGCTGGCTATTAAAAAGTTTTTTATTTAATTTTTTATCTATCTTTAATTTTTTTTTTTTTATTCGTTCTATTTCGAGTCCAAATGCGGTTTATAAATGTATTGTAAGTGTAAAAAAAAGTAGAACTGAACTAACCTAATAAGACATTTTGTGTTTTAATGTGTACACATTGTATATAAACTGTATAGATCTACATATTTTACACATGATTTTAAAATACCAAATCTATGTATTAATATATATATATATATATATATATATATATATATATATATATATATATATATATATATATATATATATATATATATATATATATATATATATATATATATATATATATATATATATATATATATATATATATATATATATATATATATATATGAACACACATTTAACACAAATATTTACATGCATTTGTCGCATATTTCACCATATGGCATATAAACATGTGTTTATTCCTACACCTCTACACACGTTATATCCCTAGGTCTAAAAATAACATTATTGCGTCAACATTGCGCCACAAAAATGCTATTTAAAAAATCCCAGCAAGTTTTATGGGCAGTAAATGACATCGAACTACCCGACCATGCCATGTTGACTGATGAATGAGCTTGTACCGCCCTCATAGGTTGCCTTTATGTTGTAAATATTCTCAGGAAGTTGGGGGGGGGGGGGGGGGGCATTGCGCAAAATTAGACGTTCTAAGGGGTGTCGAATTATATGGTACAATAAATGGGTAAACGGTTGGGTGGGTTGGTTGGTATGTAGATGTTGGGTGATGTTGCGGGGGTGATTTAACTTTTTGAAAATTGTCATCAGAATATAGGATGGGCCGTGCTGAATAGGTAGACGCCTAATTTATCTTTAGTTAGATGATGTTGTCATGTTAGTGGCGAGGTTAGGGCGTGACCAAGGGGAGAGGGCTGTCCCCCGGGCGTCACTTTTTTCTATGTTTAAATAGATTTATATAGGTCTACATGGTTTGTTTTAGACATTTTGTTTCCGGGGAGGAAGGGACAAGTATGAGAATTTAAAAATTCCAATTAAATTTGATTTTCTTTTCTGTTTCATTTAGGTGTGTGTGTAGGGGGGGGGATTGGACACATGCTACGGAAGGATGAATGAGTGAAACTCTATATATATATTGGCTATATATATATATATATATATATATATATATATATATATATATATATATATATATATATATATATATATATATATATATGTATGTATGTATGTATGTATGTATGTATGTATGTATGTATATAATGGTGCAGGCCATGGTTGGGGAATACAGACAATGTACCGTTAAATAAAAAAGAGGCGCCACAGTAAAAATTGTTTGTGATACTGGCACATCTGCACAACATGAGGTGTTTTCCTAACATTACGTCTATGCACTAGATGCTTGCCTAGCATTAGTGTTGTAGGCTAGGTGTTTGCCTAGCATTAGTGTTGTAGGTTAGGTGTTTGCCTAGCATTAGTTTTGTAGGCTAGGTGTTTGCCTAGCATTAGTGTTGTAGGCTAGGTGCTTGCCTAGCATTAGTGTTGTGTGCCAGGTGTTTGCCTAGCAATAGTGTTGTCCTGTCTAAGTCCTGCAATTGATTATTGTTCTAATAATCTTAGCCGCTTTGTTCAAACGTCGCATTCGATCTAACATATCAAATAACGTACACCTTCTATAGGTATACCCGTTTCACAGACACAAATATTTCGCAATTACACACATTTTAAAGACATACACATTCTGTACACAACCTTTTATATACATTTTATAAATATATTTAATTTAAAAACATACACATTCTACATACATATTATGTAAAATACACCCCGTGTATATAATTTAACATTCTGTGGACATTCTAAACATCACGCAGCCTACACTTTTAACTTAAGTAGGCTCATATATAAAACATACAATACCCACCTTAACGCTTGCCCCACCCCACCGCCGTCTAAACTCTACCCCCCCCCCATCCCATCCTATCACCGTATAAAATTTTTCCCCACCCACACTTTAATCTAAACGCTTGCCTCCTCCTTCCTTCCCCCGCACATTACTATAATCTAAACCAGTGGTTCTTAACCTGGGTTCGATCGAACCCTGAGGGTTCGGTAAGTCAGTCTCAGGGGTTCGGTGGAAGACATGACACACGCCGACACATTTGATTCACGATTGGATTTTGTCAGTGCGGATTATAGAACTATTAAGAAGGGTTCGGTAAATGCACTTGTGAAACAGATAGGGTTTGGTACCTCCGAAAAGGTTAAGAACCACTGGTCTAAACGTTGGCTCCACACCCCCCCCCCGCCACCTTCCCCCACATTCGTCTAAACTCTAGCCTCACTCCTATCATCTAATCCTTTGCCCCCCCCCCCCCTCTTCCCCACTCACCATCGTCTTAACTCTTACCCCCACTGCTACGTCACTCTTCTTGTCCAACATAAGACACGCCAAGTATCATACAATACGTGTGATGAAACCCAACCCTCCCCCCTCCCCGCACCCAAACTACTCCGTCTAGCTGTCCTTTATAGAATCACTGAACCGAAAAGAAAGAGGAAAAGTTTTATTTTAAGCACGGGAGGAGAGAGTAGGAAAAATGTCTTAACCTAAATGGGAAATATGTATGTTGGTCACGGCCAGAGGCGTAGCGAGGGGGGGGGGGGGGGGGGGTGGCGGGGGTATGGACCGCACCGGGTGACACCATTTAGGGGGGGTGACACCAAGGCAAAAATAGCAAAATGTATAGAGAAAAACTTGAGAGGGGTGCAAATCAAAAGTTTGAGGGGGATGCAAATCGAAAGTTTGAGGGGGGCGGGGTGCAAATCGAAGTTTGAGGGGGGGGGGGTGGAAATCGAAAGTTTGAGGGGGGGTGGAAATCGAAAGTTTGAAAGTTTGTCCCCGGGAAGAGTCACTACGTCTCTGGGGGTGACACCATTAAGTGCCGCACCGGGTGACACCCGACCTCGCTACGCCACTGGTCACGGCATTCACACTATCCCTTCATATGCCGAGGTCCATGAATCAGATGAACTCTACTTCATCTGCACCATGTGTCTTGGGCACGAACGGGATTAAGAAGAGAAGAAATCAAGGCATTTACAATCATGATTTATTTGACTCCAGTGAGTGAAGGGCATGGCAATCAATCAACAACCATGTCGCAACTGTTTGTGTTTTTCTTACGCAAGAAATGTCTGTCTTGCACAAACTCTCGAACCTGTCATTTGTTGTAGCGTACAACTTATATTGTACCTGGGATTTCTAGAGACTTTGGTGAAAACTTAGTGGTTTACAATACGGTAACCGATTCAAGCAGGCTATACTCACGAAGTAGGCTATATATTCATATAACACATATTCAAGCAGAGTATATTTATGAAGAACCAAGCACGCGATGTTCGTTAAGCATAACCCTGAGTCAAGCAGGCAATATATGTCAAATACATCCATGTATATGTGTATGCTTGCAACAATATAGTAGGCTAAATCATCTCAAATAGGCCTAAATACCTGTATCATTCATTTGATATTACTATAACGTATATCATAGTATCATTTATACAATATCTCTCTCTATTAAATGTATTCTTGATCATTCATGTTATCCCACTATCAGGTTGGCCTATACCTTAGTATCATTCATATATTTTCCCTATTGCTAATGTCATTGTATGATTCATATAATATCACTATCCTTGTATCATTCATACCATTCTACTATTAATTATGTCCTTGTTACATTCATATTTTCTCACTATTACATAATTATATCATTGTATGATTCATATAATATCACTATCTGCTATATCCTTGTATCATTCATACAATTCCACTATTAATTATGTCCTTGTTTCATTCATATTTTCTCACTATTACATATATCATCATGTATATCCCTGTGTTATTGTTATAAAATCAGTCAAGTGTCAACAAAAGACAATTTTTTAAATCTGAGATTTCACAACATTTCTGTCCGTTTCTCTTGTCAGTTTTACAACACTATTTCTATTTGCTGGGTTGCTTTTTTGTCGTCAAAATAGACGCATTGAGTCTTAGGCAACTCTCCTCCCCCCTTGTTCCCCCCCCCCCCCACCCCCACCTCGAACTTTCTCGAACTGTCAACCAAATTAAGTACAGATAGATCACTCATTATACCAAATCCATTGACTGCATTTGTTTGTGTGTGTAAACTTGTAAACGACTTGGTATCTATTTGCCAATGACAGATATTTCTGTCAGTCACAAATCTTGTTGTGTTTGTATGAAGGGGTGGACTGGGTTGTTCAATTGACCCCAGCGGCGTGGGTGGTGGGGGTGGGGGTGGAGAGACAGCGGCCATTTCTGGCCATAATTT